AAAGCACAGGACCAGAGAGAGAGACAAGGTGCTACTGGCGAGGAAACCGAGGTGAAAAATAAGAAGTTAAAAGGCTAATTAAATTTTTCACTCCATCACACAGGTTTAGTGCCATTCAGTGTGCCGCTGCAGTCCCCAGGACGTTGGCCGAAGTTTCTGAAGCGCAGACGTCTGTGCAGGCTGGTTCCCAGACACCAAGTGACACGAATGCTGTCAGCGCACCCGTGGTCAACGGCCACGGTCCATCAACTGCTAAAGAGACCTCGCAGCAGCCCAAAGGGATCATGGGAATGTTTGCAGCGAAAGCAGCTTCCAAACCTCAGCACACAAATAAAGAAACTAAAGCAGAGACTAAGGAGGCCCCAGGTGTAAGTTACCTCAGACCCTTTGGCAGCCTTGGGTTAATAGCTTTAATGAACAAGCGTCGCTCTTACTCGACCTAAATAACCTTAACCAGCCGTAGTGCAGCCTCGTCCGCTGCAGCCAGTGCTACACTTGCTGTCTGCTGGGAATGGTTGGTCACTCTTTTTGTAAGTATTTAACTGTATGGTTCAGTCATCTTGGGGGAGAGTATATTGTACCACGCTCTTTGACCTACCCACAAAAGTGTGTTTGCCATAACTTTGACGCTTTGATGTTCCTCCTTGAGCCAGATCTCCAGCGAGTATAAACCAGCATAGCTGCATTATTGAGACAATTGTTCCGTTGTCTTCAGTTGTGCCAGTATATACACCGGTTGAGGATCTTGCTCTCCCCATTGTGCTTAAAAGGATTTGTTTTGAGCAATAAGTGAAATGTGAGAACTCCAGGTCTTAAAAGTATCAAGGTGTTTAACTTGGTCTGTGAAGGAAGTTTCAGAGCTTGACCTGTGAAAGACTAAATTGTTTATCTTCTCAACTGCTGCTTTTTCCAGGGATAGGATTGCATATTAATTTTAATTAGTATAATTGTTTTTAAAGCAACGCGGCCAGTAAATGGGTATTAAAATGGTAACATTCCCTGCATATGGTTTGGCTTTTTTATAACAGCCATTATTATATTACTGTACCAACAGTACATTTTGGTTCATTTCTCTGATTTTATAGTGAATTTAGAGCTGATGAAATATGCGTGTCAATGTTTTGGGAACTTCAGTGTCTGTTTGCCTTTTTTTGCATGAAAATAAATGGGATCAGGAGGCCAACCTTACTTAGGTGCGCTCTGTGTGTGTGATTTTTCACTTTGGTGGTGGCTATATTAATGGAATAGAGCAGTGATATTTTTTGCAAACGACTCAGCAGAACAGTGTACGTGCCAGTGTATCTGGATAAATTTTTCATGGTTTGGCCAATCTGCGTTCTTTCTTCTGTCGGTTACTGTGAATTGAAGCACTGATAGTTTGCAAAAAGAACAGTTCTTTACTGGGAACTGACCCAAGTCTCAACCACTTATTTCAGTAACACTGTCAGCCATCAGATAGGAATGTGACCCAAGTTAAATTCGAAGGCCTAGCTAAGGAGTCGTAAGTAACTTACTCTCAACCCTTTGATGTATGTAATATCTCGTATCTTCAAATTCTTCTGAACAGATACTGAAATCTAAGACACTGACTACTCAACAAGTTAGACGTATTTATTTTGCTTGTCCAGAAGCAGTACTATGCATATTGAGGGCTGTATTGCATGAATAATTCCTGTGTTTACTCCTCTGTTTGCTTCTAGGTGTCTGCAGTAAGCAGCAAACCACCAGCAAAGAGCAACATAATGAACAACTTCTTTGGAAAAGCTGCCATGAGTAAGTGCTTTGTAATATGCATCTGTTTTCAGAAACCATTGTGGTCAGGGACCAGCCTGCTGTAGTTCAAAAAAAAAAAAAATCCTGAGGGATATTGGAAATCTCTCTTTTTTTTCTTTTTTTTTTAAGTAAGTGGCAATTCAGAAAAATCACCGATATCAGGTGTCTTGTTATACAGCTGTAATGGGAGGCATAAACAGAAGGAAGCAGAACTCTTCCTTCCCAACACCGGCCCACCAAACTTGTTGGATTTTCTTTATATCCCCTCTTACAGTTTCCCATACTATTCTTCTGCTCGTTTGGACTCAGAGGGGTTAATGTTTTTGTATGCAGCTCTTCAGATGAAAACTAAAAGTTGTAAGTGGAATTTTTCAGACAAAGCTTGCTGGATGGAGATCAATTAAAATGACATATTTGTGCAGACTAACCCAGGAAGGATTTCTAGTGCAGAAGAAATCTGTTTTAAAGTGAGTACTTCTGGCTGGAAGATTAGCTATTGGAAAAATATTTGCCAAAACCTGTTACGCAGAGCCTGTTAACGATGCTTGCTTTTCATCACAAATCACTGAGGAGTCTATAGTTAGATTTAGAGTTAATTTCTTTACTGAAAAATGAAGAGCTAATAATTGGAGGGTAAAAATGAGGGGTGGCCTTCCCCTTTGAGCAGGCATTTGGACTAGGTGGCCTCTGGAGGTCCCTTCTGACCTGAATTATCCAGGTCTAAAGAAAATATGCTGAAGCTTTTAAATAGACATTGGAAAAGGACTGTAGGACTTTCTTCAAAGGTGCCCTTATAATACCGAGCACAAGAGGATTCAAAGAAGAGTTACTGGGAGAGAGTAAACAGCAAAGTTCACTTTCTAACAGACATCTGTCAGAGTTTGCAGGGTACAGTTCCAGCACTGAACACACAATGCACAGTACTGTTGGGCATCTTTGAGTTCCTGTTTTTGTGAGACTGAGGGAGCTGAGGATGCTTTCAGCCTAAGCCTCACCAGCCTAAGCACAATTAACTCAAGTAAATTCTTAAGATCTGAGAAGAGCCCTAGACCAAAGTTCATATGCTGAAAAAACCCAAAAAGTTGAAATTGCATGGTAAAGATAATCCGGTGGTAAGGGAGAAAGCTTTGTGGATGCATTTCTGTGATTTCTAGTGGGGTTCACTTCTCTGAGTCCTGTCAGGGAGCACTTCAAGGAAACTTGTGAGGTGGCTGCAGGGAAGGAGAAAACCAAGCAGAAATGGAAATGATTATGTGTATAGAAGAGATAGGGTGATTCCAGGAGCTAGATTTATTCCCTACATGCTGTACATCTCTCCTGGCTTCAAAGATTTCACCATTGCCAGAAAGTCCCAAGTTAACAATAATTGGGTCCTTCGGCTTTCTGCTGTTGATCATAAATAAGAGAGCTGTCATTCAAGTTCTTATGTATGAGATGTTTTCCCTTGCTCAATGAAGCAGCCAGCCTGTTTTCCAGGCAGTGTCAGAAAGGTGTTGGCCTGAAGTTTTAGCCCTCTCGGCAGCCTCTGTTCCTATTGACAATGTAGTTGATCTCATTACCATCTCGGGCATCTTGTGCTTGGAATGATACAAGTTTCTAACTTGTCTGCTCCTCTGGGGAGGAGCTATAAAGCTGCTGAATGAAGCTCACAAACTGTAATTAGGTGCTAGTGTGCTAACAGCACTACCTATCAGGTTGATAAATATATTATTTTGCTGTCCACTCCCACCTGCTATCTCTTCTCTGGTACTAGATTAAGCTTTTTGAAGCAGAATTGTCCTTGTATGTGATGCTGTGTGGGCAAAAGAGGCTGGTTCTTCATCACGTTGGGGTTGGGGTGAGACAAGAAGCCACTACATTAGTGAAAACACTAATTGTGGGCTCTAATGTTATGCAGGATGAAACTGCGCACACCTCTCACTGCTCTTCATCGGTCCTGATCTCCTGTTTCTGGGCACTTTCATGCTTGACTAATAACTGTAGTTTAGAAGGGATCAACTGACTAAAAAGATGGACACGGTATTATGCCAAAGGAGCTGTCTAGAAGAGGGGTTCCCAACGGTTCTGTGGTGCCTTTGGTCCTGGTGACGGCAAGGGCTTCTGCCGCTGCCTCCTAGGCCCTCTTCTGCAGAGTTTTAACCACTGCCGCACACTCAGCTTGTGGTGTGCTTAGGCTATGCCATCAGGAACAGAACCAAACTGTTAAATCAGCTAGAAATTTAAGCATGCCCTTTTTTTGTGTATGACACAGCTTGATCAGTCTAGATCCCTGATGCTTTTATACATCATCTGTAGTGTTTTCTGTATTCTTGGTGCACAGTGTTTTGTTTAGCTGACTCCTTTGTAAGTTGTCGTTCATACTGAATGCCCAGTGTTTGTTCTTTTTTAATGGTTTATTCACAGATAAACTCAAAGTCAACTCTGTGCCTGAGCAGCCAAAGGAGGAGAAAGAAGTAGCCAAGCCTTCAGTTCCGGTAGCAGAGCCAGAGTCATCCCCTAATACTACAGTGGAGAAACCTGGAAAGAAAACAGAGTCTGCTAGAAGTCAACAACAGGACAAAAAAAGGTGGGCCACGCCATTCAAGGTCCCTGTAATCTGTTGATGGCCTGCATGGAGCTGGCTGGCCATACAATGCTGGCTCAACTCCTGTTTCCAGCTACTAAATTGCATTAAACCTGGCTAAAATTATCTCTCTTGGAATTCTTTCCTAATATGTCTTTTCCATTTAGTGCTGTAGATGCCTCAGGGCCATTTGTGCCATTGCAAACGGGAAGGGACACGGTCCAGGTAGTCTTCAGTGGGAGGGGGTGGCTTTCCAGGAGACAGCCTCACGCTGTGAGCAGACGTAGTATAGACCCCGCAGGCAATCTGTGGGGCTGGCAGGAGCACCTGTACTGCGGGGAAGGTAGTATATTCCCAAGCTTATATGTACACAGCTTCCAGCACACAAAGTTCTGCTTGTTGATTTCCATAGCTAATGTACTGCTGCTTTCAATGCCGCTGGTTTACTTTGGGCTGAGACTCCAAGTAAATTTTAAGTTCAGCCCTTTGTGTTTAATCCAACCCAAACTGACAGAGACAAAAAATCATTACAGTCTGATGGCTCTCTGGTGGCCTATGAGTAATTAATTGGTGGTCTCAATCTGTTTCTAACTAAATAGGTAAGCGCACCGCCCAGCCCACCATCACAGTTAGTGCTAACTGGTCTTCTTATTGATGGTCTTATTCAAAAAGCCAAGGGCCTGGAAACGGCATGTTGGCAGTGTGGTGCGGGGAAGGCCACTTGGGCTGTACCAGCTCTATGAGGATATGTGGGCCTTTAGCCTCCAGGCTTGTTAGTCTGACACGTCTCGCCAACATTAAAAAGAAAGAAGCTATTTTATTTTTCCAGTAGTCTTTAAAAATGGCTCCAGGATTCTGAGACACTACCTCATAGTCAGTCAGTGGCAAGCAGTCTGTCAAAAGTTTCTGAGCGATGCTGTTGGGGACATTAGTGTTTGGGAGCCTGAGCTATAGAGACAAGATCAGAAATGCGCTCTTGCCAGGTTGCTGTGGCCAAGCTAGGTGAGGTACTGGGCAAAACATTGAACTGCAGAGGGGCTAAAGAAGTCCTCCTTGTTTTGGAGAACTGGATATGGGTAAGGATGAGAAGCTTGAAAATGCTTGTGCACCTATGCCTGATTATATAGGTGAGTATACTTCAGCGTATGTGATGCTCGTGTTTCTAAGAGGTACAGAAGTATTTGGTTTCCTTTGCTAGCAGTGCTTATATCGAGAACATGCTTGTCAGAACGCGCCTGACGCTTTCATGCGCACACAAGGGATAACACTTGTTCATTCCTTTTTTCTTTTTGTGGCAGTAAAATGAAGAGGGTGGACAAGTTGGATAACGAGGAAGAAAGGGATCCTGAAAATCTAAAGAAAAAGAGGAAGCGAATCAAACAACTTCAGTCTGACAGCAGTGATGAGGAAGGTAAAGAGATGTGTAAACAACCAGGCATGTAGGTCAGGGGCCTGATTTCGACAATGTTAATATCCAAGGCTGTTGGTCAATGATTGAGGGAATAGTTTAGAGGACTAAAGACCATGCAAATGGCTGTAGTTTGAGCTTTCTGTTTATCTTGTGCTGCAAGCACTTGGGCATAGAGTTGAGATGCCTCAGTCATTCAGTCTTTGTTTTAGCTTAGCTGAGATCTGGCTGTCTCCTCACCAAGTGTGCTGCCAGTCACGCTGACTTGTGGGAAGGAGATTCTCAAATCTCTTGTGAAAAGATATCATGCCTTCCAGAACTGTAGGACTGGTCATAACCAGTTTATTTGAGTAAACACCCGCAAAATGACCTCCCCCCCTCTCCCAGGGTCATTTTTAGTATCTTTATTCTGTCTGTTTATAGAAATAGTTTGGAAGATAGCACTGGAAGCAAGACTTCAAAAAAACCCAAACCAAACCAAAAAAAAAACCCCAAAAACAGATAATAGAGAAACTGGAGGCAAAACAGTTGAGCCATATCCGATGCGACTCTGCGTCTCCTTGGTGGCTGTTGGCTTTGATAGGAGTAGGGTGCCCAGAACGTCGCAAGATTTGGGCTTATAATGAGGAACAGCAGGGCCGGATTCCAAAGAATTTGGATAATTGAGGTGACAAATGCCGTTCAATATAGATAACTGGAAAATAAGTTGGGATTGAGCTAGGGAGTATGTGCTAAATGGAACAGTCATCCAACAAGCTGATCAGGAAAAGAATTTGGGGATCATTATGGGCAAATAATTGAAACCACCGGTTTGGTGTACAACTCCAGTAAAAAAAGGTGAAACAGCAAATAGGTTGTATTAGCAAAGAGATGGACTCCAGCAGGAGGACTGAAGCTGTTTGCTTATTTAGTGTGGCTAGCACATGAGAGAGAGCCATGAAATGAAGAGAATCTGTAATACAAATTAGAGAGGCAATTACTGTTGGATATCTGAGCAGCCTCCATGCCACCTTAGGCCTATTTTCATGGTTTCTCTTCTACCCAGCACAATTTTAAGTGATCTCTGTCATCAGGCATCCATCAATTCTACTCAGACTATGCCACAGGATGATAAATCTCTCGGGAGGCTGTTCTTCATGATCAGCCTTAATTTCATCACATTCCTGTGTGCAGCTCCTTGTTTGGCCATAAAAAAATAATATATGCCTACGCTCTTTGGTATTTATTTCTTTAAATGTTTGTAAGCTATTTTCTGGTCTTTCCATTTACTCATCACTCTGTGTTGTTCAGCTCTGAAGAGGGAAGATTGAAATCAGCCTGTTTAGCCACTTAAAGCGCCGCTCCTTGCTGGGCTGGAATCTCTCAGCTCGTCTGTTCTCTGCTAACGAGAGTGGGCAGAAATGAGCCCTGTGTTTCAGGCGCACGGTAGAGCTGTGCGGAGAGGCCGCTCTTTGAAGTGTGAAAGCGTGTTGGTTCAGTCTTCTTGTGCTGCCATGAGTTGGGGACCCCCAGCCTCCTGTGTTCATGACAGTGCTCTGAGCACACAGCACGCCGAGAGGTGACCGCACACTCTGTTTTCCTTATCTGTTTCTGTTAGGGCTCTTTTTTAATCTCCTGAGACTAAAAGCAGTGCTGTAAGACTGTCATAAATTGAGAAGCACTTTTCTGCAGAGCACTTTCCTACAGAAATTTCTATTTCTGCAAGTTCCTGCTTCCTGCATATCCACTTTTGGTTTTGAATATTAGACCTCTCTGGTCTCTTGTTCAAGACCTGTATTACCTTAGCATGTGCTGAATAGTTAATGCCTTTGAATGTGGTGCCTTCTGTTTTCATTTATTCCAAGGTGTGGTCCAGAGACTCTGCATGTACTCCTACCTTAGTGCACACAGTAGGTCTGTTTAGTTGTTCTCCCATGTTTTATTTGTGCTCTTAAGTGTGAGGTAACTGGATTTGCAATTAGAAATCATGGGTCTGGTCCTCTGATCAGGCTGGGGACTCCATTGTCTTATTAACCTCATTCTCAGTAGCTTTAGTCATTAACAGCGGTACAAGTAAGGCTACCTACCCACTCGCTTGTGGGGAGGCTTGGCTTTTGGTTTACCCCTTTTTAACCTACTGGACATGTATGCAGATTGGAGAAATTTCTTGTCACTGCCGTTGCTCCTGCATCGTAGTCCTCTTTGTTCTTTCCATTACGTGGAGAATCGGCTTTGTGTTATGTATTAGAATTGTAAATTTATGCAAATGAAAGTTTGTATATACAAATTTGTACATTACGCAGATTAGCTTTGTACTATTCCCCCTTTCAAAAGGGAAAGATTACAATCTTTCTTGAGAGCTTCTCTGTTCCTCCTTTTTAAACTAATGGCTATCTAAACCACCCTGGTGAGGTCTGTTCAGTCGTGCTGCTTGCCCTTCTAAATCCAACCAGATGAAAGAAGATAGATTTGAATTCTTTGAAATATTCGTGCTGAATTCAAACTGGTAATATTACATTCAGTATTCAAGTATAAGAATGTAAGTTGGATGAAACAATTTAAAAAGTACAGCAGAGGGACTTCGAGAGCTTTTACCCATGGAAAGGTTGGAAACAGGTTTCTCAAGGGAGCAGGGGAAGTTTTAATCAGCAGCATCAGGGAGCAAAATGGGGCCTGGAGTGACATTGTTCCACGCTGCATCCCGGGGGGAGCAGGGAGGAAGGTGCCATATGCTGCACAGCATTTGGAAATCACTGCCAGACAGGGCCCGGTTCATCGGCCACCTGCGTAATTCACCCGCGGATGACGGAGGGGTGAGTTTTGCATATGCAAAACGCAATATGGGAAGCTGCACCACCAGAGCGGGTATCAAAGGCTGACGGTCTAGCTGCTGCTTACGCTAACGCGCCGCGCTAACCTGGCCGACCTCCGCTCGAAGCAAACGAGGAGGTGCTCGCACGGGCTGCTCCGCGCCGCTGGAGGAGGCACGGCCTCGGGCAGGGGTGCTAACCTCTCCTGCGGCTGCCGCGGGGGGGGCTCCTGCGGCTGCAGCTGCGGGTACAAGGGGACGCTTGTCCGCAGCCGTCGCTGTGACTGAATGGCGTTCAGACACGGCTCCACCTGTGTAACTGCTAGTAAAACCACTGCCCGCTTTCAGGCAGACTTAGCGACGTTTTGTGGGTTTGAAACTAGGTCCGTATGACTGATGCGAAGCGCTGTATGGGCGCTCTTATGTCGGGGCGAGTCTTTTGCGTTGTGCTATATTAGTCTGCTCTTAATGTACTGAAATTAGCCCAAAACAAGCTCCTCTTACACGAGTGTCAGCACATTGTACCGAGTTGAAAATACAGAGAGGGCATAAGGCACAATCCTCTCCATTTAAATGATTTTTCATTAAAAAGTTATATTGGTATGAGGGTGCGTTAGTCACTGCAGGTTGTTTTGCTTCCACTGCCAGAATAAACTACACAAGTGTGTCCACAGAGGACAGGAGGTTTTGGCAGCTTCAGCTATAGCAACACAGGCAGCATTTCGCAGTGTTGACAAGTGTTTTACAGCCACTTTGGAGGGTGATTTCAGTGGCACTGTAACCTACAAACTCTATTGGTTTCGGAGAGCTGCAGCAGAAGCACTAAAGCTTCTCACAGTTTTTCCAGGCAGGGTCAGAGCAAACCGAACAAAGCCAGGATTTACATCTTTGGTACATCCAATTGCCCAACTTGTATCCATTTCATGCAGCTGTTGCTGTTGAGTAAACTGTGGGCAGCAGCTAGAGGTTGACTCAGGAGTTATCACATGTCAGAGTGCTGTGTTGGCTAGGGGAGGGTAATAAAGTAATAGCGACGCAGTTTGATGGTAGTCTGAAACACTCTGACGTGGGGAGAAGGTGCCTCTGTCTGCCAAAAGCTGGGGGAACTCATTTGAAGGAGGCTGAAGAAAAGCCCAGGTTTCCTGCAAGCATAGTGGAGTTGACACGTTGAAAATACCTTCAGCAACCTCTGCTCGAGCACGGCAGAGGTGGCATTTTTTCACCAGGCTGGTTTTTCAGCCCTCTTAGTATATGCTCTCTTAAGAATATTTTCACATTGATGTGGCCAGCCTGGGTAGTCTGTGAAGCAGGTTTGGTGCTGTGCAGTGGATGGGCACTTCAGCCTGCAGTTGCTGTGAGACTATGATAAATATTGAGAATTTTGAGTTCCCCGCAGCTCCTCGGCTGCGGTCCCGGCTGCCCCAGCAGTTAGCACCTTAGAGCAGATCCGTTGTTTGGTTTTATCTTTGCACAGCTGCCAGACCCAGCTCTTTGGAGCAAGGTGAAATACCGAGTCATGTTATCCCACTCTGTTTGCATTTCTGTGCCTCGCTTACTGAAGTAGTTAGGAGGCAGAGTCCTTGTTTGAAGAATGTAATTTATTATTTAGCCTTGGCAGCCAACCACTGTTTCACTTGAGCCCTTCTTAACCTATGAAGGTCAGCTGGCTGTATGCCTGGCACAGTCATAACTCTTAACACTGACCTAATCGGCTGGGACAGCTACAGATCCAGAATTTTTGTTACAATGACAGGATGAATGCAGTGCTACAGCCAGCAGAGCTGGGAGGAGAAGCCAAGCAGGCACTCTGTCCTCCCATCCAGCGGCATCGCTGTTGTTATTAAGCAATAGGTCATATGAGGAGTTTCTTCCCCCACGTTACTAGCTCTCCCCCACATTTGAGGACTTGCATGGCAGTGTTTCTCACTTGGACTTGGAGAGGATTCCTTAAAGCCATTTAAATTAGTCACGGTGCCTGCTGCGTGGTGCAAGGTGCTGCTCCTTCCCCTCTTGCCCTGCGCTGATTTTTCTTTGCCGTCATGGCTCTGTCCCTCTGCCAGCCCCACAGAAGAGTGACCCTGGCTTTCTCTTGTGTCGATAAGCCCTGCTAGTCTCACTAAGGCCCTCTTTGACACTGCTCTTAGATGCTCCAGAGCTGGTTTTCCTCTGTATGAAGTTGTGCAGGTGGCCTTGACTATGTCAGTCAGTTTTGACATTGAAAGGATTCTACTCTCTCTGTCCTTGCACCTGGAGGAGACCATAGCTGATGCCAGATGAGAGACTGGGCTTAGTTTTTTGGGGTGGTTTGGGTTTTTGTTTGTTTTTTCAGATGAAAGGTTTGGGGTATCCCTTAACAATCTTTCAGGATGGGTAATAGTATATTGCACTTAATCCTTGGATTAAGGTTGGTTCCAAGGTAATAGCGCAGGTTGTTTGAGATGTGTAGCACCACCTGTGAAGTAGTGACTGTGTTACCAGTGGGGGAGAGGTAGAGAAACTAAGGTCATCCAGTGATTTGGGAGTATGTAGTCTTAAACCCTGACTCTTTCAATTTCTAAACAAATTGCAGTCCCTCTTTTTAATGAGTAAGTAAAATACGTGGCTAAAATGTGCCAGTTTCTGTACCTATTTTTAAAGTTTCATTTGGTGGAACTGATTTTGGCTTACCAAAAATCCCAAATGCACTTCTCCCATCCAATCCCACCCTTCACCCTCCTTCCTTTGGGAACTGCAGCACATAGCACCTTGGCACAGGGTAAGCCGTCTGGCCAGAGGCCGACTGCATCGGACGATTTGTCCTGGCTTGAATTAAACAAATCTGAGTGAGAGCTTGTAAACCTTTAATCTAAATACAGGTTACAAGCAATTGCTCAGAGTTAAATGAAATTATTTGAGACAAAAGGGTAGCTGTAAGGGGGCGTTAGACCCGCATGCTATCAAGATGTTTATCTTCTTAGCAGATGTCGCACTGTCTCCTGCACCTGAGGAAGAGAAAGCTCCATCTCCACCTCCTGTACCTGCTCTGAAAACTGAACTGGAGCCTGCATCCGCCGAGGTAAGAGCATATTAGGGTGATTAACTTCTGTTTCTATGTGACTCGATGGGGATTGCCCAACCACTTTTCAGATGCTGACGGGCAGGTCCTGTTTGCCTGTCAAGTCCATCATGTCATCCTGCTTGAAAGAATCCACCATGTTCATTCATTTTCTAGGCTATTATTTAAATGCTAGCTTTTCTGCTGACATGACAGTTTTTTCTGTTTTCTTCTCTTTTTTTTTTTTTTGCCCCTTCCTCATGGCTCTATGAATTGTGGCTCGTGTTTGAATGCTCGTCCCTCTGAATCTTGGCCTCAGGAGTCAGGGCAGGGCCAGGAATGAAACCAAAGACTCTTGGTATTCAACCTTGTATCGTAGGGAAGCTGCTGTGTCAGGGAGGTGGGCTGCGACTGGCAAGAAGTTAACCTCTGAGCTGAGCAAATATGCCCAGTTTTACTGAAAGTGCAGCTGTTTGTCACAGCAGGAGTTCTGATGTCTTGCTCTCCTTTGTTATTTCCTCATTCTTTGAAAGTGTGATGGGACAACCCTGGTGCCACCTTCTGACATAACTAAACGCATTTCAAAACGTCACGTGCCCAAGAAGAGGAATGTGTCTCTTGTGCTGGCAGACAGGAAACCTTGCTGTCTCATTTAAGTTGTATTTTGTGTCTCTAAAATTTGTCCCGGTAGGATGGGGAGAACTGTGGCGTTAGCAAAAATGAGACTAGGATATCGTGGTAAGGGACAGAATTAGTTGTCAAGTCACGCTCAGTTTCGTTAGAGAGACTAGATTTCACTCCTGGGTCTGATGCTTTTAGGACCTGTGTACATGCACGGGGCCTTAACTATTGATTTCTCACAATACTGCAACATCCTTCAGGTTTCAGTTGGAGGGAAGAAGAGGAAGCGGAAGCGTGTGCTGAAATCCAAAATGTTTATTGACGAGGAAGAAGGCTGCATGGGTAAGACTAGCTGTCTCCTATACCTCAGTGGAACTAACTTTATCTAAGATGCATTGAAGATTTTTACAGGCCAGCCTCTCCCAGGCTTAGAAAGAGGTTCACAAAATCACTTTGCTATTCCACTTCAACCTTATGCTCACAGATTGAGGTAACTGCCCTTTTGGTGAAGGCCTGGGTAGGGAGTTGTGGAGCTGTGGCTGAATCCTTATTCTTTTTTGATTATTCACAGATTTTCTTTCAGTTCCTCTCCTTTCCCTCCTGCCAGCATGAGCACCTCCTTCACTTGCTCTCCTTTCCAAAGATACAAACTTTTAAAGATGGTGCAGGGAGCGGTCTAGATTTTGGGAGAAGATCTGTGTGGGAGAAGTTTGATTTGGTGTTCTTGGTTTGGTTTGGTTGGCGGGGGCAGGGGCGGGGATAAATCCAGAGCTGTGCAGCAGAGCTTGATTATATGTAAATATAAACTTTAAGTATCCCAGATAAACAAGGAATAAGTTGGAGCTTAAATCCTTGAGAGGGTTTCTGCTTCTGATAAGGATGGCTCTGCTTTCAGGAGGGAAGAGAGTCTCTACAGAAGTACTGAGAGACAGAGGCTTTGAATCCAGCCTGACTGGACACTGCTTCCTCCTGTGACCTGGAGAGCGCTGTGTAACACCACTGTCCTTGTTTCCTCCTCTGTGTCCTGACATTGAAGTACAGCTGCAGGACTTCAGAATCTTCTTCCCTTTTTTTTTTTTTAAAGGTTTTGAAAATGTAAGAGGGTGGAATGTGTGGGTTTTTTTTTTATAGTGCTGTTGTCAGCTCAATTGTATGGGATGCTTAACGTTCTCCAGCCTTGCTGATCTGAGTAAATGTCAAGGGAGCTCAGCCAGTTCTAGGAGAAGATCTGTTGCTGTTGTACAGGTTTGTCGTTGCGCATAAGCGCAGATAGATACAGGCTTGCTTGGCCCAGATTTGGAGCTGCCTGGATGTGAGACAGCTTGTGTCTGTTTGCACCTGCCTGTATAGTTGTATCTTATGTTTCCTATTAACTTGGTGTGTCTCCTTTAAAGAAATATAAAGCTAGCACTCAGCAACTGGCTATGCTAGTAACTGAAATCTCAAGTACTGGATTTTTGTCAAAGAATTGGACTTGCACAAGGTTATTGACTGCTTTGGCTAGTTGTGTTATGGGGTGTTTTGCTCTCCCATCCCAGATAGAAACATTAAAACACTTGGAAGGAAAATGGAACAAAAAAAAGCATTAGCTGGGGAGTTGAGTTGAACAAGGTCTGCATCCAGAACTTGCAGTAACGCCTGTTCTGGGTTCAGCTCCCAGCAAAGAGTGCTCTTCTCTTTCTGCTCAGCCCTTTCCAAACATACCAGGACTGGGAAGATTGCCTTTCCTTCTCTTCTCTTCACCCCAAAGGCTTTAATAGTCTCTTGTGAAATCCAGACCTTTGGTTTTGCAGTTCATATCCACTACCATTTTACGAAAGGGGAAATGCATGCCCCTGTTGTGTCTTTGAGAGACAGATCCTCTAGGAAGGAAAGAAGGAGCTGGGATGCTGAGGAACTGGGTAGGGAGATGGCTGCTTTCTGTAGTAAAAACCTATCAGTCTGTTGTTCAGAACCTGCTGTCTGATTATTGTCCCGTTTCTCCCCTCCTGTCTCTTCCCCACACTTTCCATGTACAGGCCTAATCATTTGAAGACTAAATAACTTGCCCATCTCCTGGGCTAATGTAAATTGTTGTTATTCTTTGAAATATAGGGGCTTTTTACCCTTCTCCCTGCTGTCTTTTTTTTTTTAATTAAGGGCTAGGTTTTAAGCGACATAAAAACCTAACATTAGGATTAGGCTGTGCTTTATATTTCTCCATGATTTTAAGTGATTATTTTCACAATAGCTGCAATAGCAAGGAATTGGTGTCAAAAAGCAAAACTAGTTTAGGGATTAGCCCTGAGGGAAATTGAGCAATTAAAGTATCTGTGGAGTTAAGCAGTAGGCATGTTACCGTGCATCAACTGGGATTCCATCGAGTGCCTGCTCTTAGCCTGTAGCAAAGGGGAACTACTGAGGTTTAAGCGGGTGCATTTCTACCTTGCACTTTCTAAAGCTTGAAAGAATGCACATGGACTTGTATATTGGAATATATATATATGTGTGTGTGTGTATGTTGTAGGTAAATTTGTCTTACAGCACTGGTTTAAGTTAGAGCTCACAAAATTTGAGTTACTGTGAGTTAGCGAGTCTGGCTGTGATCTGAGCATCAGTAACCATCTATCTGTGTGCTGGTAGCTGCTGCAAACACAGAATTTTCAAGTTCAGCTGAGATCTCAGTAAAAGAAAGTTAATCTAAGCTGTGTTATGTGGCAGTTGCAGGGGATTAAGTGCATGCTTTCGGAGTTACCACAATTACTGACAGGGGTGACAACACGATAACTTTTTAAAGCTCAGTAAGTGGCCAGGGGTCTGTTAAAGCTGCTCACTGAAAAGCCAGTTGCCTCCGAAGAGAGGTTAGCTTGGGTTTACAGTCCCCGTTTGAGCATCCGCTAGCACTGCAGAGCAGGATTTCATTCCATTCCTCTTCCCAGTCTCTGGTTACGTAGAAAACCTTATTTAATTTGATGCATTAATACAAGTGAAAGCCAATTTCCCAGAAGAAGGGAAGTTAGGACATCTGTTTAAAAGAATACAGTTGCTAAAGAAAAATGGCTTACTAGAAAAATACCAGAGCCCTGCTGGGAAAACTGATATAACAACACTTACTAGTATCTAACGATGGCTTTCATCAGTGGAGCTGACTCCAGTTTAATTTCCGTGAGTGTTGTTTTATACCCCTCAGCTTTCCACCACCGGATGCTGACAGCAGTGAGCCGGCAATCCCATTCAGTCACAGTCCTTGATTTCAGTCACGGGTTTGGGTGTTTTTTTGTTGTTTTGGGTTTTTTTAAGGTATTTCTTGATAATTGCCCTGCTTACCTACCTGTATAGGAAAGAAGTTGACCCCAAGGTTTTGTGCTCCTTCTCTCATCTCTGAGATGCGCTACGTTTGCTTCACTCTTCCCTTACTGTCTGATGTGTGTGGTGCTGACAAGGGAAGGCTGGGTCTCTCTGGATTGACTTGTCTGGATTTCGGGACAATCTGGTTGCTTTGGACCCTGTGGAAATCAAGCCAAGTCAGAATGGTGGTTTTTAACTGTAAAATAGATGTTCCATCCTCTAATGCTAAACTACGGAGTCTGATCTCATTCAGATTTGTCACTTCCTGATAGCTGCTCGTCAGCCTGTGCAAGACGAATTGATGGCTGCAGGCCCGTCCTTGGTAGAGAACAGTTTTAGCTGTGGAGGTCTTCACTGCAACTGGGCCTTGTTTCTAGAAGAGGGCAATGCTTGAACAGATTTGGAGAGGGAACTGTCTTTTCAAGGGCCCTTCCCAGCGGGGAGCCCTGGGGTGCTGCTGTTCATTTGCAGGCCATATGTGTGCCTTGAACGTGTACGGTGACACCAAGCCATTTTGAAAGAGCTGGATGATATTAAAGCTCCCAAGTCATGAACCTGCTGTCTTAGACTTCAGAAAGAGGGGAGACAGTTTGACTCAGTGTGTGGAAAGCCAGTCCAGTCATCTGGATCTACTGGATAACCTTGAGCTATGGACTTAATTGAACCCAAAATGCTCATTTCCAGAAACGCAGTGGGAAGCCTGCAGCAGGGAGGTCTCTGCTCTTTGGTACACAGGCTTAACCATCATCATCTGTTCCTCTTTTTTCTTTTAACCAGTGACTGAGAAGGTTTACGAGAGTGAATCCTGTACAGATAGCGAGGATGACTTCACCAAGTCCAAGCCACCAGCTGCACACAAACAGCCTGCACCACCTATGAAGAAAGAACCAAAGGAAGACAGGAAGAACCTGAAAAAAGGGGCAGCTGCTGCCAGCAGAGCCAACAAACAGGTCTCCATCATGGGTTTTTTTCAGAAGAAATGAACTGGGTCTCTCTCCCTGGTCTTCTTGGCAGCTTGGGAGCGTTGCTCTTTTTGTGTGGCTTTCTGAAAGCTGCTGCATTGGAGAAATCTTCAGTTACGTAAGATATCTTGCTTACTGTGTAAGTAAGCCCTCTGGACTAGATTTTTGTATCGGAGAAAAGCTCTATTTGTTACTGCAAAAATTTCATTTGTCTTTACTAAGCAGGATGGGAATCGCCAGCTAGAAGCAAAATCTAGAGGAACTCTTGAAAGACTGTTAATCTATTCACATGAAATTTTATTTTTTTAATATGGCCTTTTACCTGTTCGGTGCTGAAGGCCTGTTCCACGAATGGTAGATTGACTAAATTAGCAGTCAAGTTGTGGGTTTCCCCCTCCACCCCTTCCCCCCTTGCTTTTTACACCCCCAGCTCTCCAGATTGCTCTAAATGTTCGTGTTCGTTAGAAGCTGTAATGTAGCAGGTCTTCAGACGTACACACAAATACCGAACATCTGCTTCAGCTTTAACTGAATGAAATGAACTTAATTTTCCCCCTAAGACTGCTAAATAGTTTTTGCTCAGCTTTTCATAGCCTTTTTTTTGGACAAAGCATTGCATATAAAATTCTCTTAGTGTTTTCTTCCTTGAACATATCCTCTGTACGTTGCTCAGATGCCTAATTATAGACCCAGGACACTGTTGGTGCTCTGTCTTCGCAAAAACATCTTGGAGGCTTCCCACACAATTGGCTCCAGTGTAACTGGGGGAAGGCTTTGCTGTTATTGGGAAAGCAACTGTATCTTTAAGCGTGAAACTTAGTGAGTCAAAGGGGAGGGTGTTTGGAGGGCACTTCTGATAACACCACTCAGGTACCTGCTGTCGTTGTCTGTGAAGAATCAAATCGCACGCTGTGTTTTGGTTTTGTAGGGTTTGGTTTGCCCACAGTTGTATTTTTTACAGGCATAAACCAGACAACAGAGGAGTTGTTTTCTAGGACATGCCATCATCTGCCTGCTGAAGGAAGTGTGTCACAGCAAATGGTCCTGAGGAACCAGTTATTGGAGGTGAATAAAGCACTGCAGCCCTGTTAATCAGAAATGAGTCGTCATTTTGGATGGCTTCTGGTTTTCTGGTGCTACATTTGATAGATACTTCTAAAAGGCCAGGTTTTCCAGAGGATGGGTGCAGAGCGTTTCTGAAGCTTGACAAGGGCTCCCAAATGGGCAACTGATGTCATCAGTGGTTATTTCTGAGTGCCGTTAGGCCAGTGTATGTATGGATATGTATGTACCTATTGGATTATAAAGTGTTTGTCGTTGTGGCAGCAAGGTAGATAAAGTCTGAAGAGTGTGAACTGAGGAAGAAATGTCTTCAGGCAGCCAGATGAAAATATTCCAACCCTTGGCCAGTAAAAGGGCCAACTGAGCGTGTTCACACAGTCGCTCTGACCAAGTGATCGAGTTGGTGACTTGAAGAAATTTGAATGCCTAATAGTGACCAACACTTAACTGAAGTCATGTCACCCTAGGCAGCTTGTGCCCTCAGCAGATGCAAGAGGATTTTTATTTTTTTTTTTTACTTAAAACCAGCACTGTCTCTGGGTTTGTGCCCGTGCTTGTGTCCTGGCTGGGTGGGTTCAGCTGCTCACTGCATGGATCGCTACTGTCGGGGATATTCAAAGGTAACCTCATAGCCCTGTGTAGCTCCTCAGAAGTGTTAAGGACTTGATCTCTGGACTTACTGAATTTTGGAGATGTACAGGAAAAATAATGGGAAGATGGGTGAGGGAAGGCAGAACTGGCAGGGTCTTCATGGACATCCATGCACAGCCTGCTGCACAAGCTAAAAAAGGTTTCATGCTCTCGTGGTATGTTTGAGTGATGTGGGCATGGGCAAAGAATGAACAACCTTGTTCTGACTTTTATGAAGAAAATTTAGCTGTTAAAAAAAAAACTACTGCTGTAGTGTTTCTGTTTTTCTTGGTAGAATTGGGGGTGTATTTTGAAAAGTAATAAGTAACAAAACCCGTTAAATAAAGATTTTTCTTTTGTCCTTGCTATTCATGATGTGCTACATCCTGATTTCCAGTGGTTGCTGTGACAGGAGGCTTCTATCAAAACCAGGGCTGGAAGCATTAAACTGAGTGTTTTAGAGCATCTGAAACGTGGGTGAGAACATCTCAAACTATCGGGATCTGTATTGAATTGACCCCTTGAGTCTTATTCCATGGCAAGTGTTGGCAGGATGCGGTGTCCCCGTGCTCTTGCACCTCACCTCTACCATGGTCTAGCTGGAGCTTGCTGCTCCACCCCGACTCCCTCTATAACCAGATCAACGTCATATGCGACTTCCTCAGGAAAATGACTTAATGTCTGAAGAAGCAGGACATAGGCAAACTTCAGACTTCCAAAAATCATGATCTAATACTCCCCCCTGTCCTGCAGTTCATGGGCTGCCAGCCCCAGGGGGCCCTCGGGTCCCTGGATGCCCCTGGGGCGAGGCTGGAGCGTCCCCAGGCGCTGCGTGGGAGCGAGGAATGGGGCTGGGTCCCCAAACTGCTGCTTAAAGAGAAGGTTCCCTCTTGCTGCTGTGGGCAGATGTCACCCCTTTGGCAGCCGGTGGCTGGTGGGGGACAAAATGTCCAGGAGGCCGTGGCTGCTCTGTGTAGTGCCGAGCTGGGCACCGGCTCTTGGAGCACATCCCAGCCTCGCAGTCGGCTCAAGGCGCAGTATTAATGGTGCTCAGGGTCCAAAACCTCGTCCCGGAGATACAGAAATCCAGGGATTTCCTCTCCTCTCCCCTTACAACCACATCTGCACCCTCACGTTTGCAAGGTCTTAATAAGAGGCAGCGGGAGAGGATGTTTGTTAATTTAACATTCCTTGCTAAACAGCGTATTCTACGTTGTTCTTCAGTGTTTCTTTGCTCAGGCTCTCTGAAAGCCTTTTTACAGACGGAGGAAGCTTCATCCTTGTTTCCCGGGTGGGGTGAGAAGCTGAAGAAGTTGCACCGTCGGATACTCTGGGGTAAAACCGGTGATGTACCGAGCTCCTGTTGGACAAGGTGCCTCTGAACCAGCAACTGCGTGTGCCCTGCGAAGGGGCGAGAAACACTGCTCTGGGGGATGACGAATCCCCAGCCCTCGTTTGGGAGACGGCCGAGCTGATTTACAGCCCTCCTTCCCGCGGGGCAGAGCCTGCTCAGAAAAACCCCTCTGCCTTTCCCGCTGCGGGGCTGCCTGGCCTCCATCGAGTTAAAGAAGAGCAGAGGAGGGTGCGAGGAAGCGCCGCTGGCAGAGGGTGAGCG